TCTTTTTTCCTGAGTGTCTTTTCGTGGCTGAATTGGTGTCCTGAATCAATTCAAAATATTTATGGCAATTGCTGCCAGATAAAAACATGACACTGTGTCCTCGTCCACCTTATTCAAACAATCTGGCACTGTGGAACTTCTGGCTTTTCACCAAAATCAAAATGACTATGAGAAGTAAATATTTTGAATCAATTCAGGACACCAAGGGAGCTACAATAGCAAAACTAAAGACACTAGGGAAAGAGGAGTCCAGAGCTGCTGCAGAAAGTAGCAAGAAAGATGGGATAACTGTGTTCAAAGTGAGGGGGAGGATTTCAAGGGAATGATGTGTCTTTTATTGTAATATATTTTTAAAAATTTAAGCATTCACCATACTTTTTTTTGCATAATAAACCTTGTATTGTATGAGTGATCTTTAGAGAAACTTGTAGAAAATGAGGGAACCCTCACAGGACCGAAGAAGCTGAACAAACGTATTTCAGGAGAGGCTGAACCTTAGCTCATCTACAAGAGAGTAAATGCCAATAGTTAGACTGGCTGTTACACTCACACTGGCCCCTGTGGCGCCCCCCGGAGGTAAGAGGAGGAATAACATGGCTCCCAGCCACCAAGGAAGCTGATTTGTGGCATACAGATGGGAGGACTCCATAGTGGTATCTTCAAGTAGCTATGAGACAGGTGCATTTGGCCAGTTGAGAGCATCTGGTAAGGGAGCCAAACAGCACCTGCTACCCAAGAGTTCAAGGAAATAAATGAGATGTTCACATGGGAACAGAGATGGAGCGTAAACGTACTGTGCTGAGTGAAAACAGTAAAAAATAGAACTGTTTGTATGCATGAACCATTTACATAAAGTGCATCAAAACTATATTTCATAATGAAAACTTAACATACTATACACAGAACAATATTCAAAATGTTACCAAGTGTCTCGGAAGGGCAATGCCCAATAAGAATGAAAGGCTGACCAACACTTGGCATCCAGATCCCGAGGAGGATTAGTATGGAGCAAGGAAGACTAAATGTAAAAAAAAAGGGCCGGGGACTTAGCTCAGTGGTGCCTGAGTTCGATCCCCAGTACCAAAAAAAAAGAAAGAAAAAGGATGACGAAATGTGACAAAATGTGAAGTGCAAAGTACGAAAAAGGGAAGAAGGAAAGGGGAGAGTTCCTCCTCTTTTTCCCTGCACAGAAGTTAAAATGCTTTTCAATGACCTATCACTTGCTGTCCTTGCATTTTTTGCTGATGAATTAAAAGAACTTTTAACATCAGCCTGTCTCTGTCTCTGTAGCTCCCAAGAAATGGAGAAGAACTTGGAATAGTGAGCAATGACTACCTTATCAAAAAATCAGGACTATGAACTCAGATGTTCAAATACTTGAGGTTTTTGAATGGTAAGGTATTTGATAAGGACTTGTTTTGCATATTCAATGTGACATGAACCTTATCAGGAATGAGGACAAAGGCAGTGGCTGAAATGATTTCATTTACCCTATTGATTAACTCTGACTCAATATCCAGATGGACAACAGCCAGACCATATAAAAATGGAAAGCTGCATTATTCAGAAACCTGCTCACAAAACCAATGACCTTATTCAGCATAAACAACTCATCGCCAGCCTGCTGTGAGTCAGACTGACAGCCAGACACGTCCCTAGCCCTTTTGATAATCCAGAAAGCTAATAGTATCTGTAAAACTTGCCCTAAGGTGGCTAGGATGTGATTAACAATTGACAGCTTCCTGACAGTGGCACCAAGACCCTATGTGCTCTGGCTCTTACCCTAGAGCCCATCTTTCAACCCACAGTGGTACCTGGGCTTGCTGATCGCAGGTCATGCAGGCCACAAAGATACCATAATTCAGCACTGTGTGTGGACACCACTCTCCATCTGAGATTCACTCATTCTTAGTTTGGGAGGCAGATTTCGTTATTGGTTCCCTAAAGATCTTGATATTATATCTGATGTGCTATGGGCTGAAAATTCCACTGATATAGGCAAAATAATTGGAGCAGAACCGGTACAAGTCCGCATAGGTTCTACTAGACAATTATCTAAATGTTCCCAGTACCCCTTGATGTAGGAAGAAACAAGAGGGCTCATACCTGTGGCTGACAGCCTCATAGCCAAGGTTTTTCCCATACTCTGCACCTGCTCTTTTAACATTCTTATCTCTTCAGGAAAGAAATCAGACTAAGTGGATGAGGACGTTAATTTATTCAAGACCTCAGGGCTATGAACAAAATTGTTACCCCTTGCTTCCCAGTAGTACTTGACTCAAACACCAGCCTGCCATCAGCTCCCCTCGAAGGCACTTTCTCCACCTGGTGGACCTCTGCTCTGCCCCTTGTGATGTTCCTCTAGACCAGGAGAGGCAGCCCTGGACCTGGGCTTATCCATGTGTACTTGGACAGTTTTGCCCCAGATGGCTGCCGAACCCCCTTCTGCTCATCCCACATCCATGGATCTAGATGAAGGCCATGGCCACAGGGCCAGTGGGCCATGAGTCCAGGGAATGGGATATTTTCTCCCTCCCTTCACAGATGCCCCCACCTCTTTCATCTTGACTCTTTCCTACGTTTAATTATTTGGTTCTCTTTTTCCAAGGAATTTTTTTTTGGTCAGTCTCTCTTCTCTCTTTCTTCCTTTCTCCACTACTTATCTCTGTTCTCCTTCTTTAATCAGTCATCTAGTAGATGTTATTAACAGGCGAAGAGCAATAAATAGAAACATGCATTTATACTTAAGTATATTTTTTCCTACTTGGAGCATCTAAGAACTTCTGTCTCTTGGTCATGTCAAAATCTTACACTTCTATGATCAGATATTATGAAGCAGTTTATAGAGTTTTATATTTTATCCTGCTGGGACATCTAATCTTGAGGAAAAATATTAACTGTTTCCAACAGATGTTATAAGTTTAATAATAAAACCCAACCCTGGTTGGAGTTGAGGATATTAGCATGCCCACTGGCATAAATTAGTATAATTATAAAATCATTAATGAAAAAGTAGTGAGGACTGTAAAGTTTTTCAGACTTAGTAACTCCATTATCTTTTTTCAGGAAGTTAGTTTAAGAAAAAAATATAAGGGAATAAAATTGTTTAAGGAGTTGATATGTTGATTAACTTGGTATTCACAACAGTAATGAAAATGTAGAGAAGCCAAAGTAAGAGAAATGGAATGAGTTATATATTATATTGGATTTGAAATTTTATATAGTTCACAAAATATGATAAATGGTGAGCTAAAAAAATCTACAAAACCAGCTAATTGAATAGAACCTTATTAAGCTATTAAATTAAGCATGTAGAGAAGCAGAAAACGCATTTGCTTCATGAAATATGTTTAGAAAAACAGGTTATTAACTTCACCAAAAATGTGTGCAAAGGCTATAATCACAACTATGAACATATCACATACACGTGGGTGAAAATATCTGATTTTTAGAATGGAAAAATTATGAGAATTTACTTCTATGTGTTAAAAATCTTATATTTAAAATATTAGTACTGAGAAAAGTAAGAGAGCATTTGGTTTTACATAAGTGTAAGTGTGAAAAAACTGTGAATTTGATTGCTCGAAAATAAGGTCTCTTAGCCATTATATCATTCTAAAGTCAAAACTATTTCTGTTTGGCTTGCTAGGTCTGTCCATTAAAAGGAAGTCAATCCCTTTGATAGGAATTTGATCCATATACATATTGGCGCACTCTTCAAGGGTGTGTTTCTTGCTTACAATTCTCTGGAATAAAGATCTTGTTGACAGTGATAGATACCACATCATTTTTTCCATCAAATCCAAACTTCAACTGATGTTGGTTTTGCCGAATTGCTTTCATTCCTTCATGGCGAGGAGCTTATTATTAAAGGAAAGTTTTCAGTGCATCAACTATTGCCTTGAAATGGTGCGTTGCGGTTTGTTTCCCCGTCTTCTCTTCATGCTTTCCTTACCTCCTCTTAGTTGCTGAAATTAATGACTAATGTATTCAGGGTTGACTGTCTTCCTGCAGCCTGTAAGGTTGTTAATTAGTACCTTAATTCAACAGGGTATAATAAAAATGATGCATATTGTTTTCTACATAAAATGACACATATAGAATTAGGAAACGCAAGCAATTTATTCACCCCATAAAATAGACACTGATATATCGGTGAGAAAGCTTTATCATATTTAGGTTAACAAGGATCAAAAGTCATTCCTCAGCAGTTTAATGCCTCTTCTCAGTTACTTTCTGACAGTTTATTAGTGTGTAATTTTTGTTCACATCAGCAAGGTCTCCCTCCTACCTGAGCAGTAAAGCAAGAGGCCTCTATAGCAGCAAACAACACCAAGTCCAGAGGGCCTGGCAAGCATGCAGGTGTTTTCGTCAGAGTTATGTCAGCCAGCTCAATCAAAATGGCGAGGATGTCTCCAACCCAACTCAGAAAGGACTTTCTAAATCACCCACTTAGTAAATAAAATGTATTTGCTTCTGTCATGATTTTTGAAGATGTCTGCTGTGGGTAGTGTCTTCATATCTTCTCATTTTACGTTTTTGGAGCCTGAAAACTTCAACTTCATTCTAGAACACATACAACTTTTTTCTGAAATCTGTATCCATGGGTTAGATGCATTACTTAACCTTGATCTGCCATGGCCTGCGAGGCTGAAGGGTCCACAGAGTGAGAAATGACGGTGGGAGATTAAGAAAAGGTAAAGAAAGAAAGATACAAAACGGCAAAGAGAAACAACGGTGGGGCCAGGTGGGGCTCTAACTCCTGATGGGAGGAAAAGACCCCAGGCAACTGCAGCGGGTTTATTTATAGTGGTAGAGGTAAGGGAAGCACAGGGGGAGGTGAAAGGGGCTGGTTAGTAACCAGAGCCAGGAGAGTAGCTAAGGTCTGCGGGACGTCATGCTTGATGGTTTTCTGGCGGAAGGGCGGGAAGGAAGACAGCTCTTTTCTCCACCAGGCTTTGTTCCACCAAGGCCTCTTGTCACCTGTTCTCCTCCTGCAGGGCCCTGCCTCATTCTCCAGAGGAAGCGAGCAAGATGTGCATTCCTTGTTCCAGGAGGAGCCCTGCCTCATCCACAGGAGGAGGTGAGTTAGGCCTGGCCATAGTGATCTACAGCACAGTGTTTCCAGTGTTGATCCGTTATTGATCCCGTATGTATGTTTAGAAACAGGGTGTGTAAAGATTCCTATGCCCAAAGTAGACACTCCAACCCCTGTGAGTCCCCACCTGCATTAATGAAGACCACTAAGCAGAGCCCATTCCTGTCTTAACTAGCTGCTTATACACACTTTCATTTGGTACATTTATGTGACTTTGCCCTTTTAGAATTGAATTCCTTTTTTTTCAGTCATAGCTGAGTAGCACTGCGGCACTCCCTTGTGGCTTCCAATGCCGTGCTCTGACATCCTGCATCCTGCCTCAGCCTCCCAGGAGCCTGGGTCTGCCAGGATGCCGGGCACCTTCTCAGACTGGGGAGACAGGAGCCCTAGGAAATTTGTTTCATTCAGTTTTACAAAAGGATTAGATATGAACACAGGGCAGCTTGGAAAGAAGCCAGGGAGGAGGAGAGGGAAGTTTGTCTCCTACCAGAGCATGGATATCAGCAGACTTAGAGAGTGAGTCTTCCCTACAGAAGAGTGAATGAGAAGAATGCTTCTGAAAATAGGAAATGGCTTTCTGAAGCTGCTCTGAAGCTGGGAAGCTTGCAAACGTCATCTGAAACATAGCCAAAGTGCTGCCAAGCAGGCGGGTTTCTGAAGGTGATGCTACCTCTCTTGTGCCCACAGAATGGGGCTGAGGTGACCCACAACCTCTGATGGACATCAGTCCCTACATATCGGATGGACTCCAACAGAGGCAGAGGGGGCTGCATAGTCCTCCTTTGTCTGCAGCTGTCCCTGCAGCCCGGTCACCTGGTGATGACAATGGCAGCTGTTAGCAGTAGTGAGGCACTGTAACAGCCAAAGCCAGGACTCACACTGGGGCTCCAAAGCCTGCTTTGTGGCAATCCCCAAACTCCCCACAAGACCCGGAGGCCCCACTGTGTATGAGGAGCCCCAAGGAGAGGCAGAAGAGGAAAACATGGAGAAAAAGAAGACATCTGTGAGTAGATGGTGAATTGGACAGTGATTGAGATAATGATACTCTATTTGAATAAAAAATTACAGAACTGAATCTACTAGATTAGCTGAAATTAAGTTTCCCACTACCAGTGAAGTGGGTGCTCCCGAGGTGGCATGATTTGAGTTCTACAAAAAATAAAATTCATGTGCTTCAGATATATTAATATTCATATGACCCTGATGAAGTGGGCAGATAAATTACCATTATTGTCATTTAGAACTGAGGAATTTGAGCCCCAGCGGGACTGGAGAGTGGCTTGTATACCAGGGTCTCCTTATTCCAAGAACAGTGTCTGACCTCTCTCAGTTGGGCCTCCCAAATATTCACTACTTCCTCCTCATTAAGGAGAACATGGCATCATATTTCTCTAATATTGGGAAAACTCTTCATGATGAATTGCTATTCTACTGCATTTTTGGACTTTACAAATCAATGCCTGGCCAGGGGAGTCCCTCAAAAGAACATAGACTGTTAAGGGAAAGGAGACTCCACACCTTGAGTAAGTCAGGACATTGAAGATTTGGGGAGTGATAAATAGATTCAGAAGGCTTTACTGCAAAGAGGGTAAACACCAGAACACCACCAGGACATGCGGGGACAGTGCTGACCTCAGAGCCCACTGTCACCCTCAGGAGACAGCAGGGGGAGTGAGGACCAAGAAGAGGAAGCATGGAGCCAGGACTGCAGGACGGAGACATTGCTGAAAGTCCCTGGGAGGGACAGAAGGAGTTACCAAATGCTGCCAATATATTAACACTATGTTCTAATACTGTTACCAAGTGTTACAATGAGTTCTTGTTTAATATCTAATGGATATAAATTTTATGTACTAAAATAATATACTGTTTTCTTTATATTTTTATTTTATTTTAAAATTTCATTCATATGGTAGAAAGTAAAAATCACCTTATTTGTTGATATTTATTTCTACTAAAACATGAGATTGAAACATTAAACATTAAATACTTAGAATTGTTAATTATTATTTATTTACAACAATGTGCTGCATAATGATTTGATCAACAGTAGACCACCTGTGTGACAGTGGATCCTATAAGATTATAATGTAACTAAAATCTCTATTGCCTATTGATATCAGAGTTGTCATAGTTACTTTTTTGTTGCTGGAACAAAGTATCTGACACCCATAAATTAAAGGAGGAGAGGTTTATTTTAATTTATAGTTTGTAGAGGTTTCGGTTCATAGTTGGCTGGCTCCAAAGCAGTATGGCATGGCAGAGGGGCATGGCCGAGTAGAAACAGTCCATGGCAGAGCGGGCAGGAGCAGAGAGGGACCAAGGCAGGAGGAAGGATTTGTACTTCCAGGCCACACCCACAGTGACACATCTCTTCCCACTAGGCTTCACCTCCCAATGTCACACCCAGTTATAAACCCATCAGTGGCTAATCTAGCATCACACACCCATGATCCAGTCATCTCCCAAAAGCCCCACCTATAAGTGCATAAGACTTTGGGGGGGATCTAGATAAAATCCATAACAAGAGTGCTATGTATGATCCCTTGCTTTTGGTGATCTTGGTGTAAACAACCTACTGTATGGGCAGTTGTTTAAAAATAGCATATATAATTATGCACAGTGTGTTATAAATGAAAATGAAAACAGTTATGTTACTGTTTATGCACTTACTATACTGTACTTTTTAATCATTATTTTATAATGTACTTCTACTTATAAAAGGGAATTAACGGCAAAGCAGCCCCAGCAGGCCTGGCAGGAGACTTCCGGAAGAAGCCCCTGTGGTCACGGGAGAGGACAGTGCAGGTGTGTCATTGCCCCTGGACACCTTCTGGGGACAAGGCAAGAACTGGGCACAGTGATGGATGGTCTGACTCCGGGAAGGAAGGCCCAGGCCATGGTGGTGAACCTGCAACACATGTGCCCCAGCAGGCTGTTTGTACCTCTGAAGGCTCCGAAGCGGTTACCATCAGTGGCCTAGGCTAATGTGTGCATTTGTGCTTTTGCTTTTAGCAAAAAGTTTAAAAAATAAAATAATGATAAATTTTTAAAAAGTAGAAAGCTTAGAGAATAAGGATGTAAAGAAGAAAATGTTTTTATGCAACTAGAGTAAAAAATTAATATATCTAATAGTGTATAAACCCAAAAAGTTACATTCAGCTAGGCTTAATTTATTCCTCGAGAACGATTTTTAAATATAAATTTAGTGTAGCCTTCTGGTGGTGTTTAGAAATCTAGAAGAGGGAGCAGTGGTGGTCCTGATCTCACTCCACCCTAACCTGGAGCAGTCCCCAGTCCTGAGTCTCCACCCCTCATAGGTGCCCGGGACAGGAGCACGGGTAAGGCCTCTCTGATCCTGCATTGTTGCTGCGTTTTTCCACACTCAGACATGTTCAGACCCACGAATGTCTTTGTGTCACAGCTGCCTGGTCGGTTTGGCATAGTAACAATGCTACAAGAATGTAGCCTAGAAACAATGGCTCTGCCACCCGTCCCAGGCATGTACCTGAGGCCTATGACGTTTGCGCAGCCAGACATGACACCAAAGTACCCCTGTGGGTAAGGGAGCGGAGACTGCCTGCTGCACTGTGTCGTCAGCAGAGGGCGTGGGAGGACACTGCAGAAGGAAGATGCTTTCCTCTTCTTCCTCCATCTTGCTCTTGTCCCTGCAAGACTGCTCCATACATTTCTCACATGTGGCCAGTGAGTGTCACTGGTAACCCTGTGCGTAGTTTCCTGCCTCCCTCTGTTGGCTAGAACAGGTCTGAAATCTTTTACCGGATGGTCACAGCTCCACCCTCTTCAGCCACAGCTGCCTGACAGCCAGTGAAGTAAGTGGGTTCCTATTTGCTTCTTCTTTGGGAGTTGGTTCTCAGTCCCTGTCAACTCAATTCTCTTGCCCTTAGGAATTCTGACTTGTCTGTTCTCAGCCATAACCACTGTCCTGATATTCATCCTGCTCCTTTCATTCCAAAAGCCTCACACTACCCTAGAATTTTAGGACTAAGAGCCACCTGAGAAGGGTGGCACCTCAAGTCACCCTGCTGTATGATTGGCACGTTTTCCCAGAGGTTCTCACCCCATGGCCCCATCCTAATAACCCATCGACACTATTACGGTATTGATTGCACATGTTTGGTCCTGTCTACATCCATTTCTTTACAACACCACGCTGGGCACTATAAATGGTACAGAGAGGATGCTGTCAGGGCTAGAAGAGCACAGAGGACATAGATGGAGGTTGGAGCCAATTAACCCTGCATGCAGTCTCTGGACCTGATTCTCACTAATGATGTGACCTTGATCAATTTACTTAATTTTGCTGAAAGTCAGTTTAATTTTATGTGAAATGGAGCTACTAAGACCTCCTCATAGGATGTTATAAAAGTTAATTAATTGTGTATATATCTATATTTATGAATGTCTACAGCATGAGAGGAAGGGCTCTGCTAGCTGTCATGATGATAGTGACAATAATTCTGATTTATATTTACTTACTATGGCAGTTTTCAGCTTAGGCAACAATATGAAGAAAACATTGAAGAAAAGAGCATTGTACATAGCAGAATGGACACTCAGGAAGAAACCATTTCACATGGTGAGTGGCACTTATGAGGAACAAAGAAGTGGAAAGAGGTGAGTTATTATTTCAGGAGTTTTGGCCTCCAACATAAAACTTGAAGAACTTAAGTAATTACTGTTGCTTCCGTTGGTGGATATAACTCATGTTATCTGGTTTTCTTTATGAAAAGTTTCTTTCTGTGACTCTCACTGATCACACATTGGCCTTTCCCAGTCTTGGATCAGTGTGGTACTAACTGTACCATGGACAGTATAAGGAGTTGATTATTCTTGCTTCTCTTGATAGGTCGCTTGCCTCTTTTGTGAATAATGTGGTAAGATGAGGCTGGAAGGTCCTGCCCCTGGAATACATCCCCTTTTCTGGAGGTTGGAGTGGAGAGCGGTAGAATGAACCCAGAGCACAATTACACAAGAAGGGTTGAGATTTCATCTGATTTTTTAAATTTCAACTGGGTTTAAAAACAGTTTAAACTGGCTAGGGCCAGACAGCAGACATGGAGGGAGGGGAAGAAGAGGAGAAAAACAATACTCAATTTGAGGTCATGGACATTCCATGAGATTTCAGTACAATGCAATTAAGCTCAAGGATATGTAGAGAAAAATAAAGTTAACAAGTTTCTATTATATTTGTGATATGCTGACATAGGAAAATGGTACTACTGAATATATCAATCATTACTTTAAAGAAGTATTTCCTATAATGGATCCTTGGAGCTTTTGAATTATCAGTACTTTTGATGTTTGGCTGGAGTTTTGTGCTTTGGCCGTTTTGTTTTCTAGCTTAGATGATGAAATTTTTGACTGCTGGCTCATCACACAGAAATTTTGCTGTCTAGAAGGGCTCAGTCTGGAAATAAAAATGCAAATAAACCTAGACTGAATTATTTTTTTAATTAATTTTATTGGTACACTTTGATACACACAATGATCACATTCATCACAGAGAATTTAATGTATCTTGGGTCTTCTTTAGACTGAACTATTACAATTCCATATATTGAATAAAAGTAGATGCTGGTGAAATGTGGACTGATTCATGGAACTCCACTACTTGCTCATATTAACTTTGTCTTCCTGAGTGCACCAACAGACACAATTTTCCCCAACCCTTTAAAATTAAAGACAATTCAATCCTAAGCTAATTTTGATTAGCCAAGAATGGATGAGGCAATTCTTCCTTTTGCTGATCTGCAGCATAGTTCAAGTATGTTTTCACTGTGAACTTGCCAGAATTCTAAGTGCTCATTTCTCTGCTTTAGCACTTATGAATATTTTGAAAAGAATATTTATTATAAAAAATTTCAAACATATGTAAAAACAATGGTATAACAGACCCCTGCCAAGTCATAACTTAGTCTTAGTGATGTTAATATTTTGGCATATTCTTGTATTTCCTTGTATGTTTGTTCTTATTACTAAAAAACTAAGGTACAGTATATGCATGTGATTGTGTAAATCTTAATTCAACACACAAAGTAACAAACATTTTCTTACACAACTGCAAAGCCATTATCACAATTGGCCAAAACCAATATCATTATATCTTTGCTAATGTCAAATAGTCAGCCTGTTATCAAATTTTATATCAACATATCTTTACTAGAACTAAGAAGGAATCTAGGGTTACTCAGAGATATTGCTGTTAAATCTCATTTACCTACTCATACATTTATCTGTAATTTTTTATGGTGTTTACTTGAAGAGAATGATCCAAGTCAGTTTTCCTCATGGTGACACTTACCATGTTCCTCTATCCTTTTTTATTCCCTAAACCCTCTGACTTAGCTCTAAATGCATTTAGGATGGTTTTTGAGTATTATTAAGTGATAATATTGTATAGGTAATACTTTGTCAGTTAGCTATGCAGTTTTCATAACACTAAATGTTGATTAATTTCCTAAGGTCTGACATTCCAAAGATCAGTGAAATAGTATATGATGACTTCTAAACTAAAAGAAGCCTAGAAATCAATTGCCTTTGCTAAATTCTAAACAGGGAAATGTGATTTTCTCCATCAAAACAAAGCTTCCATTTCCAATGGGGAGCCATATGTTTTCTCAAAGAAAAATGAAGTAAAAACATAATGTTAAATAAACATCATTGTACATAAGAACAGTAGCTACCTTGTGTTAATTTACAAAATAAATTCCTTTAGCTCCTTGGTTCTTAGGCTCTAAAAGTTCACATAGTTTCTTGGGAAATCATAGTTCTTGGTACCAATATGTTTTAAATGAACATATTGGTGAAACAGAAGAGGGAATGTAAAAAAGATAGATGCAAGGTATTGTTGAATAGAGTAGCCAAAGTGAAGGCTAAATTATTCTAAAACATAACAGGAGCTTTAAAATCCACCGTGATGATACAGATATAAATGTTTTTGGGTAAATGTCTTGTGACTAGCCATATGATTTTGAAAGTAAAACTTTTTATCCAATGTATACACATCTGTGAACAAATGTCACTGCTATGGGAAGAAATAGAAACAGAGAAAAGCTGTGAACAATTTCATTTCTTCTTTTCTTGAAGAAAACAATGCTCACAAAACACTCAACTAAATTTAATCTTATGTTAAGAAAAACATTTTTTGCTTTACTTTTAGAGTTGATACTAACTGAAAATCCAAACACATATTTCTAAATGCTCAAATGATTTTTCCATATTTACATATATTATAGCATTAGGAATTACAATGGCTAAAGTATTCATTTAAGATTTCTAATCATAGAGAATCTATTTAATATATTTAATTTAATATCCTTTATAGCATTACTAAGATTTTATATTTTTAATATCATAATGAGGATTTCTGCTATGATGTTTAAAAGAAAAACTAATCCTCAGTTATGGTTTAACTAGTGGACAAATGGATTCCCTAATTTCAACTTTGTTCAAAGTGGCAGAGAAATCTCCTTCAAACTCTCTGATCATGTCCTTATTGTGCTAAAATTTTTCTCATTCTTTTATATAGCTTAGTATATATTAAGAGAAACATGAATAATCATTTCTAAGACCTTCTGTTTTCTTACCGAGAATACCTGTAGGTGATTGGTCTCAAAGCTCTCTCTCAAATATTTTATACTCTAGAATTTGGTCTCATTTTGCATATGTTCTGAGTTCTCTTTGTTGTTTTGTACCCTTCTGTTACCTGTGATGTTCTGCTGACTGCATGGGTTTCAGGACTCAATGATTTTCGGTTTTGTTGTTATTTTATTTTGTGCCAACCCCTTCTCGACTTTCCTGAAGTGCTGCTGAATCGGCCTGCTCACCTTCATCATAACTATCACACTGTCATTGCCAGTGGACTGAATGGTGGCCAAAGGATGTGTCCACTTCCCCTGAACCAGAATCTGGGGTATTGCCTTCTGTGGCAAGTGGTGGGATTAAACAAAGGAGCTTAAGAGGAAAACCTGGGTTATCTGGATAGGCTCCAGATGCCCTCCCATGGGTCCCTGTGGTAGAGGCAGGAGCAGATTCAGCTCCAGACACAAAGAAGGGAGTGTGCAGACTCCGGAGATAAAGCAGAGGAAGACGTGGTTACAGGAGAGAGACGCCAGCAGCCACCCCAGGCTGGAAGAGACAAGGAATGGGCTTTCCTCTAAGCCTTCTGAGGGAGTGTGTTCCTAACCACACACTGATTCCAGACCTCCACCTGCCATAACTGTGAGCAATTATGTTCTGTTGTTGTAAGGGTGAAAGTTTCTGGTACCCTCTGACTTGGATTCTAGTTATTCTGTTTGTCTTATTTTGGCAACTATATTGTTCTTTGCTCAAAAGTTGAGTGGACCTTATTTATAGCCTCTAAGATATCAAGATTAGTGTTCAACACACAGCACTAGAATGCTTGAGGACAGAGCTGCAATATAATCAATATATAAAAAATAAACCTTGACTAAGTAGTACATTATTTAGTGGGAGAATACAAGTAAGTAAATCCACTCTTATAGCGTAGTGTATTTATTTACCTTTTGAAAAGCACTGTGCTGTAGGAGGATCCTGGAGTGAATCCTGGCCCCAAATTAGAACATTTTAAGAAAAAATCCTTAAGAAGTGAGATCTGCTTCACTTGGAAGTTGAAAAAAATTTATCCAGTTAAGAAGATGGAGATATACACTTCATAAAATAGAACACTGTAGGTACAATATCCTGAAGGAAAGGCAAAGCATGGCATATTCAGGGAATCAGAGTAATTTTAGTTGTTGAAATTGTAGAGAATAGAATGTAAGAGTGAAGGATAGGATTTAGGGCAGTGGAGAAATGAGATCTGATACTTCAAAAACTAAAGCAGATCATAAACATTTTTAAATGGCATAGTAATTCAGATTCCAAATATCGATATTTTTGTGTTATATGCAAAGCACGGGAACTACCTGATAGAAAACTGTATCAGTGGGAGGAAGACAGAAGAGTCTGGCAGGGAACATGGGTTAGAAGTTAACTGGAATCATCTAAATGAGAGAAAGTAGGATCCTTAACTAGGTTATTGACTGTATGTATGGGGAGCTCTGAGAAGCTATAAAATATTCACCAAAGGCAACAACAGAACATGAGCTGAAAATGGAAAAGTAAGAGGACAAAGAAATGAAAATGTAATTGTAGCATCTCCAGCCCTGATGGAGTGGCCAGGGCAGAATCAGCCTTCCTGCCATGAAATGCCATGACTGGTAAGAAGATATTTGCATGTTGAACATCCACGGGTAACACTAGCACATGGCAGGAGTGAAGACTCCTCTGTTCGTCTTGTAGAATTTACAAGTGACATGGAAAAGAGTGGGTGCAATTCCTGCCCGAAGAAAGAAAAAAAAAATCTAGACAACTTGTAAAATTAACAGCCATAATTCCCAGCACAAAACTTCAAAGTGGACTACTGGATGTGAAGATGTTGGAAAATTAAATTCATCACCAGAATAAAAAAGTCTGTCAATGGAATGTATAGCAATGCATATTGGTCACAGTGATCTCAAACTTGATGATAATTATTGGGCATGGAATCCAGAAGTCTCAAGGATCCGCAGGCAGAAGAAAGAGAGCCCAGGAAACTAAGGCATTCCCAGAACCAAATTGCTAAAACCCAACAGTGAAGAGAGAATTTCAATGGAATCAGATTTAAAATAAGAGGAACACACACTGTGTAAGGGAAGGTTGGGGAAGGGTGGGATAGTCTGACAATGAACTTTACCAGAGACACAAGAAAGTGGAAGACAGGAGCCAACACATCGACGGTACCACGAGGACAGAGAGCACCACCACCAAACAACCAAAATCCTGCAGCAAGTAAGTACAGTAAATGCATTTTCTTAAACAATGAGAGTAAAATCAGTACAAAAGCCAAAAGACCTTCTTATTAGCAGAAGTATACTATAAGCAACGCTAAAGGGAGTTTTGGAAGTCTGAAGAGATGTTACGGCAACCAAAGCCTTGACTATATGGAAAGAAATGAGGAAGAATGGAAACCATTAATTCATGTTCAAAAGTGAAACCACATCTCTTTCTTTCTAACTTGATTTTTTAAAAAGCCAACTGACTAAAGCATATTAATGGCATTGTAATCTGCTGTCTATTATACTTGCAAGTAAAATATAAAATAATGATAGCAGACAGTACATAGTGGGAAAAATTAGAAACAAATGATCAAAACTGACACAAATAATTGGAAAATTTACTTATGCCAATATTTATTACAGAAACCAGATTTCTAATTTAAAAATCCTCAGAAAGAAAACTCGGCCCAAATAGGTTCAATGAAAGATTCTATCAAATAATGAAGAATTAATGAAAACCAACTGTAACCAAACAGTTTCAGAAAATAGCAAAATGTTGATTAATATATAAAAACCATCAGCAAATGATTAGAAATGAAGTTAAAAAATTCTCATTTTACAACAGCATTAAATGTATATGATACTTAGGCATAAGGGGAAAGAAATACAGCAATACCTATCGCCTAAAATGTGTAAATCATTGCTGGAATAATTTGAAGTTGACCTAAGACCATAGAAAAATATACCAATCTCATGGATTAATAGAAGCAAAGTTGTTAATACTTCAGTATCCACCAGTCAATGTATACATTCAGTGCAGTCCATTCAAAATCTCTGTGGATTTATTTTTAGTGAATGTTGTCCTGATTGTACCACATATATGGAAATGTAAATGACCTAGAAGGACACAAGTAATTTTCCAAAGGAACAACAATATTAAAGATTTTATACTACGTGATTTCAAGAATTTATACAAAAATATAGCAATTGATGCAGCCAATCATATCATGGAACAGAAAAGCGACCAGAAAGAGACCCTTTGTAGTAAATTTTTTAAAGAACCGTATGTCCAACCACACTATCAGTAAAGAAATCTATTCCATGTGTAGCACTGTAAAATCAGGTATGTATATGGAGGAAATAGGAAAATAAATTTCATTAATAAAAACGACTTGTTCATTCACCAGACTAAACATAAATAGGCAAACATAGACTGGGGAAATATTCACAATACATATATAGCTGAAAAATAATTGCCCTTTATCCAGAATGTCAAAAAAAGTATACATCTTCTTAGTAAAAGGCACTCCAGTCAGCAGATGGACAAACGTACCTCAACAGGCATTTCATGGAAGATTACAAGTGGCGAACAGCCTGTAAAAGTGTTCACCGTCGGCCACGAGAAAAATGAACATTATCATGAAACACCGTGATGCAAAAGCTACAATTAATGAAGTTTGCTAATGAGATGGGGAATTCCAATTTTGCAGACTATGGAACAGCTGGAGACTCTCGAGAGTGCAGAGCGATACAGTCACTTTGGAGGTCAGTCCGCAGCCCTGGGTAAAGTCAGACACAGATCCTATGGCCAGGAATTTCCATTCTCCACAGAAAGACCGGGGCACATGTGTGCACAGCCGTTTTATCCACCATTGACAAAACTAGGAACATTTCAAATAAATGTGTTTCATTGGAAGAGTGAAAGAATATTCGTGTTATAACCTTTCAGTGAAATACTGTACAGCGATAATCAAGCAAATTGCTCATGTGCACAATAACAGAAGTTCATCTTAAAAACATCATGGTAAGGAAAAGAAAGTCATGGGAAAGTATGGTATACTTTCATATGCATGAAATTCTAGAAAGTACATAGAAAACACTATTCCTTGTGAGAAGGGCTAATGGAAATATCTACATACACATGAAGGGACATTAAAAAACACAGAGGCTGGCGTTATATTTTTCAGGTCACAATATTTTTCATAAAGGTCAACATATTTTGCCAACACTGGATTTAAAAAAAGAATATTTCAAGGCTGGGAAGCTCCTAGTTAGCAGGTAGCAGTGTCTGTAGAGCATTTTGCAGTTTGTGTGACGGTGGCCTCCGCAGGAGTGTCTCATGTCCTTCACAGCTTGTCAATATCCCACTGGACCTTTATACACTTGAAAAATGCTTTGAGTCTAAACCTCATCCTCTCTCTATGAAGGTAAACCATGGTTTACAATGTTTGTTACATACATATTTGTGTGTCCACCCAGAGGCTTGGAAGTGTTGGCCACCAGTTTACAACTCATCTCACCGATGAGCGGCCAGGCACGCCTGGTACTGAAGCTGCTGATACAGTGCTGGTCTCGGAGGTGACAAGGTCACCAGTGTCACCCTAAAGTAATTCAACATGAGTGGAAACTTCTGACCAGTACTTTGCCAGAGTTTTAGTGAGTTGTGCAGGGCATCAAGTTTGTGATTGTGTATATGTATATACACTCATTTTACATTTCTTTTACTTAATCTCTCTATTATTCTATGACTGCAATTATGTTAAAACATGCATGCAGTTCTGTTGCATTCCAGATAGTTGGGGAATGTATTCATGCACTCTAATCAAAAGGGATCATGGACCTGGTAGAGTTGAGACTTTATTCTGAAAGGAGCTCCACATTGGTTCATTACCATATTCACCATGATACTAAGGAATCAGCAAGCACTGGCCAGATAGACATGGAGCAGACAGCGCTCTGGGCTTCTGAGTCAGGAGTCTTCACGGAGCCTTCTAAGAGCTGTGAGGGTTTAGAAAGCAGGGGAGGAGCAGAGGCTTAGTTCAGGAGGAAGGCTCTGGAGTGTGTGTGGATTTTGTAAATGAAGGAACATGACAGAAGTCACTTTCTTTCTTCCGTGGATTACCTGTTGTGTCTATGTATGTTCCTCCGTGTGTTGTTTTCTTGTTCAGATCCTTTTCAGCACCTAGAATGAACTCACTATATTTTCTGAGCTTCAAACTCTTTTTAGATTCAGATTATTTTTTTGAGACAGGGTCTCATATGTGGTTTAGATTGGGCTTGAACTCGCTATGTAGCACAGGCTGGCCTCTAACTCTCAGTGATCCTCCTGCCTCAACCTCCCGAGTGCCTGGGATTACAGGTATGCACCACCATGCCCAACCTAGGTTCAGTTTTAATGATATCTCCTCCATTACTTTTGCTGCTGGTGCTCAGTAGATATGTTCTTTATTGCTATTTAATACTTTCAGCACTTCAACTCTATCTGGTGTAAACTAAAATTTTGGACAATCATTGAAATGCTGATCATTTTCACTAACTTGTAAGCAAACATCTTACTTCTCACAACCCCTCAAGAATTGCTTTAGCAAACTGCCTAGTAAAAGAAGAAATGCCCCAAACAGGTTTTTACAGATTCAATAGAAATGAGAAATAAATTCACTTGTTTGACATGAAAAATGTGCTTAGTTCTTACATTTCTAAAATCTAGTAGAGACTGGAAAACATAGTTTTAAATTCTTAGCAACTACCCTTAGGCAAGCCACAATCTAGTAGAATTGGGAACCATAAAAATGTTCAAACATTTAATAGAATGAAACTGTTATTAATAGTCTTGGCTCTTTGGGTTGAGAGAAGTCTTCTTTGAAGGAGAAAGGCAATTATGGAACTCTAGTGAGCATTTACCAGGATTTCAAGTTTAAGGAGAAAAGTGGATCACTTCATTTTGTGGATTTTAAATGTTATGGAAGAAATACAGCAGAAGAAACTAAAAAGAAAAATTCAGACTGGACTTTGGAAAAACCTCTAAAATTTAATATCAACAAAAATATGTGGTTGGAAGTTGCTAGACTTTGAAACTTGAATGTCCTCCCAAAACCCACATGTTAAAAGCTTGTTTGCCGGCTGTGTGGGGCTCATGGGAGGTGGTAGAAGCTTTAGGGTGTGGAACGTAGAAGCAGGAAATTAGGCCATTGGGGTGTGACTTTAAAGTGGGTATTGGATCTGGCTACTTCCTGTCTCTCTGCTTTCAGACCACCATGCAATGAACAGGCCTCCTCTACATGTTCTCTTACCTGGATTCACAACATCGCCACAGTAAGCCAACAGGGCCAAACAAACTTGGCAAATTAGATGTTCAGGAGGTCAGTGCTGAGATGAATGGAGCTGAGTCTAAACATCAAATAATAAAAAGAATGTTAGCATTTTTTTCTTTTATATGCTTTGTAAAGTACTTGACTCTGCATTAACTCATTTATTTCTCACAAAACTTTTGGAGGTCAGGATTATGATCTCGATTTTCTCTATGAGAAAGCCGGCATTTAATTGACCTGGCAAGTTGTGACCCCTAATAAGTAATGGTACAATTAAGATTCAATCTCCAAATCATGCCTTGAAGTCCACAATGAACACAATTTGTTAATTTCTCCAGAAGAAGAATTCATCACTGGCGTCAATAGCTTAATCTTATCCTAAGCGATGAGACGTGGTTGTTTTGCTGAAGACTGGAGCATGTCTTTTCCTCTGATCCATTCTTTGTATTATTCATCAGGTAGTACCCCTGTCCATCAGTAAATGTCACAGCATTCTAGATAACACATACTTCCTTTTGTGGGATATGAAGATTTTTGGAATAAATATTTAATAGACCAGTAGTTCTTGAATTTAAAACAGCCTTTTATTTTCCCCTATGAAGGAATGTCAAAGCTCCCTCCATGGAAAACAGAATATTAATTTTGATTTCATAGATAGACCATCACTCTACCAATATTATTCATAATTAGGGTTTTATTTGTCCTCCTGGAGATGTGATTTTTCAAGCAGTAAACCCTTGATAAATACTTAGCAGTTAACTAGACAGGTTGACCTATTCATTAAACAATTTTATTGGTTTCTAAATCAACTTTATTGACTTGTTTAGGCTTCTATTCTCAAAACAGTCCAGTTTTCTTGTATAATTATTATCTTAACTTTCTTGATGTATTTTTGAAGATAAATCGTAGGGCTCTTGTCCAGCCAGAGAGGTCTGGGCAGTATACCCACCCCTGAACATAAATCACAGTATTCACTTAGTTTCTATGGCTGAAACCGGAGTGCGCTGGTGATGTGTTTGCTGCCAGTGCTGATGACACAGCCAGCAGCAGAGGTGATCTCCCTGGTCACCAGCAGGGAGGTTGCAGCTGTGACTGTGGTGGAGTGGGAGCCAGACTGAGGTGTAGAACAAGCCCACCCTCACCCAAGTAAACAGAGCTTCATGGTCACAGCCTGTCCAGCCTCCTGCAAGTCACTTAACTCTTTATTCTTCCTTTTTCTCTGCAGTAAAATCAGATAATAAAGTCTTGGTAAAGACTGCAGCATGTTTCTATGCAAATCAATAAACAGTGGGAATGTGATATAGAGTGGATTTAATGTTATGGGAAGCTTGGGAGCCACAAAACTCAGTTTGCTACGTTTTTTTCCTCTTTTTTGCTATGCTGGGGATTGAACCAGGGCCTTTTGCATTCTTGACAAGCCTTCTACCATGGTGCTTCACCCTCAGCCCAGCCTGACACTTTTAGCTGTGAAATCTTTCAAGTTGGGATCCAGGCCCCTGATCTTCCCATCTGAAAATATCCAGCTTCAGCTATTTTAAGCACATATTCCAGCCTGGAATCTCACCTGTCTCAACATTTTGTGTCTCATTTTTCTCTTATGTTGCAATGTGGATTTTAATTTTTGCTTCAACTCACTTACACACACACACACACACACACACACGCACACACCAGAACTGTCACTCTTACTGGAGCCTAGCGTGGCTTATGTGTAGCTACCGCGAAAGTCTTCTCTGACGCCCTTAGCACTAACATCTGTCTCTTTATAACTCACAATGTATGATGCTTGTTCATTGCTTTCTGTGCTTGTATCTAATTATACCTATGTACATGTTTCTTTCTCACCCATTAGTCTGTGATGACAGTGAGATAAGGGTTGATTTTATTTATCTCAGCCTGGACATCAGGAGACATTCATCAGATGTAGGGTTTTTTGCTTCTTCATGACTCCATGCAGGCAAACGAAAAGCTGGGAGCATATTTTTCTGTATCAGAATGAGGATCAGGATTTTAAATAACAGCTCCAGGCATCTGGCGGATGGCAGAGGGGATGAGGGAGAGGAATGTGCAGGCCAACACTGACAGCGTTTATAGCAACAAGGGGTTATGCAATGTGATTAAATGAGAAGAGGCAGAGCCCTAGGGGACAATCATCTTCCCCTGGCTGATTGCTCAGCCATGCAAGCAGAAAGTGCCAAACAGGCTAGTGACACCAGCAGGAATCCTTGGTGCAAAAGGTCCAGCTGCTGAGGATCCGAGCTGAGCTGAGAGGACGGAGCTCAGGTGGTCCCAGCTGCACACAGCCCTTCCTGCCTGTGGTGAGCAGCAGAGCTCTGCTCCCGGAACATCTCTGAGGGACCAATTTCCTGTTCTCTACCATGTGAGGCGCCTGCTGTTCCTTCAAGTGAAGGATGCAGACCTCGTTCACTCAATATCTAATGTATGCTTAAAAGGTATAACAGATAATGTGAAATAGGAAGAAAAGGGGCAAAGGGGAAGGGGAAGTTGCAGGGGTAGGGGAAAGGAAAGAAGGTGATGGAATTAATATGAGAAAAGGAAAAAAATGGAAACAAAATCTTTGTAAACAGGGAGGGATGGAGGGGTTGAAGGAAGGGCAGGGGAAGGGGGAAAAATAACCAAGAGAGATTATGTAAAGGTGCAAATTTCCAATGATGAATGTCATTAAATTGTATACCTAAAATGTAGCAATAAAATAAAATGAAAAAAATATCTAATGTATGCCACGTTGGATCATGCTGTGGCTATGCATGTTTGAACACTGCATGCTTCCACATATTAAAAACTTTCTCACTTATTTGTTAAGTAAATTTGTTAAGGGGTTAACTCATGTGCTTAAAGTCCTATATGAGATTAGAGAAATAAAAGTTTGAACACAGGTGTATTGTTTGATTGTTCTACTTTCCTAAGCCTGTCCCTTTCTCTTTCTTCCTATCTCATCTTTTCTTTCTTTTTTCTTTTCTTTTCTTTTTTCTTTCTCCTCTTCTTCATTGCCTTCCTCCTCTTCCTCTTCCTACTCCTCCTTCATCCTCTTCTACCCCCTTCTCCCTCCCTCCCTTTGTCTCTCTCTGTCTGTGTCTGACTGCCTCTCTTTGGTTATGCTCCTTTGACGTTGACTGTAAAATTATCCTGAAAGTCAAATTGAGAGTTTGGGGATTCAGCTCCTTGTTAAAATGCTTGCCTATGGGGTTCAAAACTATTCTCAAGAAAACACAAAGCAAATTAAATGAAAATTATGGACTTCTTGGAAAACTCAACTGACTGCCCAGCAAATATCTTTCAGACCAAATGGCTCCCCAGTGCTCCCATGAAAAGTCCACACTGCATGACATGGCAAAGACTGAACCCCAAGGTTGGTCTAGCAGATGGCCCTGACCATTTATCAATACCACCTCTTCTCCAGTCACCCATGTGCCCATTAATTGTTCTGCAAAAAATATCTCCCCATCAGCACCTTTGCTTGGATACAGCTTGGAAAAGTATTTCCTTTAGAAAATTCTTGAAAAAGCATTCAGATTTTTCTAAAGGATAATACCATTCATGGGATATTTAAAAATTGTTAGACATTTGTGTGTACTTAGAATACTTTTATATAGGCAAAACTTATTTGTGAACTAGAATAAAGAAAAACACAGGTGACTTAAATTCTAGTATTCTCCTTTAGAAAAATCTAGAATACTGTCTCATTCTAGAACTGGGGAGAGCTTAACTCAGTTTATCACAACAAGTAGAAAAGACAACACTTTTGCACCTTCCTAGTCCCCTGTATATGGATAGTGAATCTCCCTTTGGTCATTTCCCTACCTTTTGTGGTGGTTTTATTGTTTCTGTGTATTCTCCTCGAGAGAGTGGAGACAGCTTAATAAAAAATGTTATTTTTTCTTTCCTGTGTTAAATTTAAAGGTCCCGAGTGCATAGTAGATTGCAACATACGTTAGCTAATTTATTAATCAGTATTTATTTTTGTCTTTATTCTGCTGCAACC